AATCATCTGTTCTGGGAAGTAGACCCTCACGCCCACTGAAATTCACAGAATGTCACATTCCCCTCAGGCTTAAGGGACATGTCCTGGACTTTTTTTCTCAGCAACCCACAGGAGCTGGATGCTTCCCTGGCTGGCCCTGCTGAGGCTGTAGAAGTGTCTGGTACTAAAGCCTGAGAGCGAGGCCCTTCCTCTACCCCACGCCCTCCCCAGCACAAGCCCTCCTCAAGTGTGGAAGCACACAGCAGGCCAGAAGGCAGGTGGGGAGTTTAGTCAGTCGTTATCCCTCTCCTTCTGTGAGGGTAAATGGTCATTTGCCTTGGGGCCTATCCCCTCACTTCTCTTATGAGAGGTCACCTTGCTGTATTGGTTCCCTTAAATGTAGCTGTCAGAGGGGCCTGGAAACGCAGAGAAGTGGTTTTCTCCCAATTGGGATCCCCCATTCTCTCCTGAAAGCAAAGGGCAGAGTTTAAGAGGCTTGCAGTAGCCAAAAAAGATCCCGTCCACAGACATCACCCCAACTGCAACCCCACTCCTCTTATTCCTATCAATCTTTCAGCATACCCAGTGTTGAAATATAAAGCATTCCAACTGGCAACTCAAAGTCTTTTTTTTTTTTTTTTTAAGGTGGTACTGAGGCTTGAACTCAGGGCCTCCTGCTTGCTAGGCAGGAAGGAGCTCTACCACTTGAGCCATTCCACTAGGGCAACTTCTCAAGGTCTCTAACATTTACCTCTACTTTCCACTCCCATTGTCACCATCTGCATTTAAGTCCCTATCCCCTGCTCACCACACTTGTAAGACTAGCGCTCCTCATGCAGCTGTGGTCTGCAGTGTGAAGCACTGAGCTTCCTAATGTCTTCTCCCTGCCCCAACACTTAGGAGACCTGTAGGGGAGGTAAGCTTGACATAAGTAACTAGGGTGGATCTGCATGCAACAAGCAAAGTAGGAAAGACAAGGGCAGTATGCTCTGGGAGTCATAAGAGAGACATCTCTCCCAACGGAGGTTGTCAGTGACCTCAGAAAGATGTAACAACTGAGCTGGGCTTCCCAAGAGGAATTGGAGCTGGGTGCCAGTGGTTCACACCGTAATCCTAGCTAATCAGGATGCAGTGATCTGAAGGATCACAGTTTGAAGCCAGCCTGGGCAAATAGTTTGAGAGACCCTATCTCAGAAAAACCCAACACAAAGCATGGCTGGCAGAGTGGCTCAAGTGGCAGAGAGCTTATCTAGCAAGTGTGGACCCTAAGTTCAAACCCCAGTGCCACACACATACACTCATACACACAAAATAAAACCAAAAGGGATTAGATTCAACATCCAAGGACAAGTATGGGAGGAGCCAAGGCAGATGGAGCAGGATAGCAAAAGCAGAGAGGAATGGAAGACGGTGGATTACTGAGTGGCTAAATCTTACTACAGGCTTCAAATTTTAGTATATACTGTTAGATGGGCAGATTTCTCAGCTCCACTTAAGATTCTGAAGGTCTGGGACTGGATTTGACAAACATTCTAGATAATGTTGAGGCACAAGGTTTCCAGACCACAGTTTTAGAAAACACTGTTGGGGAGTTTGGATAGAAAACCTGAAGGAGAGTCAGCTGGAAGGTAGGTCAGAATCAAATCACAGAGGGCCTTAAATGTCAGCATTGGAGCCTTTATTCTGCTAGTTACTTAAGAGTATTCTCAGGTAAGTGATAAGATCAGAATTGTACTTTAAATCTGTCGGCAAAGGATGGTAAGAGACACAAGTGAGATAGTGTTTAATGAATTAAATGAAAGAAAGGAATTTTACTAGGACAGAGGGAGTAAAAAAAAGGGTCAGGCAAAGGATGAGAGATAAACTTCAAAGAATTTGCAGGGCTCAGTGATATGACAGGTGTAGGGAATCAAGAAATGATGGGGGACTGGAGGTGTGGCTCAAGAAGTAGAGTGCATGCTTTGCAAGCATGGAGCCCTCAGTTCAAACTCCAGTCCCCCTCCCCCCAAAAAAAGAAATTATAGAAGATGAGGGTTTAGCTCAGAGACAGGGCACTTGCCTAGTATGCATGAGACCTAGTTTCAATCATCAGTCCCAGGGGGAAAAAAAAAAGAAACAGTAGGCCAGGTGTGTGGTGGTGCACACCTGTAATCTCAGCACTTGAGAGGCTGAGGGAGAAGGATAATGAGTTCCAAGTCAGCCTGAGCTACATTACAAGACCCTGTTTCAAAAAACAAAATCAATAGAAATTGTCAAGTTTATTCAAGATACCCAACTTGAACTGGAGGAGTGATTCAAGTGGTAGAGTGCCTGCCTAGCAAGTCTGAGACCCTGAGTTCAAACCCCACTGCCACCAGAAAAAAAAAAAAAAAAGACATCCAACTTAAGTAGTTAAAAAATGGTTGTAGCAACCACAGGAATGAGGCAAGTTAGAGCAACAACTGATTTGGGAGGGACGTGAACTTGTCTTCTAGACATGCTAACTTGGAGTGTCCAACAGACACCTGGAGAAAGGAGGTCTGTAGAGCAGTCTGGGCTAAAGTCCTAGACATGGGACTCAGCAGTAGTGTGGGAGAAAACATAGAGCAAAACTAAGGGAAAACTGAATAAACTCACCAGCTTCACTTGCTCATTTTTATCACCAATTTTAGAGGTCATGTTGCTAACACTATACTCCATTTGCTTTGCTGTAGATAACACCTCTGACAGCTCATGACAGTGACGGTTGCCTAAGTTCTTTTTCAGGAACTTGGAGATAGCTTAAACCAGCTGAAACCACCAACTCTTCTCTTGGACCTGTGAAAGTGTCCACTGGGTGACCTTTGGACATCAGAGGGCCAAAACTCCACCCTTGGAGCACACTAATGAATGCCGTCGGTCATTTTCCAAACATGTACCTTAGGAAGAACCATCAAGTTTGACTATCCATGTGCCCCTTCTTTACCTCCAATCACCTTCCCGAGCCCCAAGCTACCTCTCTTTATCCCATAAATATCCTTGGAGTTATAGCCTCAGGGAGGCAATTACACCTGTAATCTCAGCACTGAGGAAGTAAAGGCAGGAGACTTGAGAGTTCAAAGCCACCCTGGGCTCACAGAGAGACCCTGTCTCAAAAAAGAAAGAGAGAGAGAGAGAGGGAGGAGGGAAGAAGGAAGAAAGGAGAGAAGGAGGGAAGGAAGGAAGGAAGGCTGTCACTAGTAACTTTTGTCAAAGGTTAGTGGAGTCTTGGAAGTACAAGCCAGAGTACAGTGAGTTGAGTAACTGAAGTGAGAAGGTGGAAGCCCTTAGTACAGAGCAGCAGTTCTCAACTTTTTGGTCTCAGAACCCTTTTACAATCTTAAAAATTATTGAAATAATCTAAAAGTTTTTGTTAATGTCTGTTAATTATATTAATATTTACTCATTAGAAATTAATGTTTATTAATTTTAAAACAACAAACTCATTAATATAAACAATTCACTTTTTAAACATAACTATTTTCCAAAAGAAAAACCTTGGGGAGAAGAGTGATATTGTTTTATGTTGCAAGTACTGTTAATCTCTGTTATAATAATAAACAGCTGGATTTTCCTATTTCTTCCAAATTTGTGACAGGTTGTTTTGTTTTTCAGTGCTAAGGATGGAATAGAGCCTTGCATATACTGGGTAGACTGGTGCTCTGCCACTGAGATACACCCCAACCCCGTTGTTTTGTTTTGAGACAAGGTCTCACTATGCAGTGCAGGCTGACCTGGAACTCAAGCTGGGATTAAAATCGCACATCGCCACCACACAACCCTTGTAATAGTTTGTCTTGGCGTAATACATGAAGGAAAGCTAGTCTTACACAGATATTAGTTGCAACAGGATCATGCTGGGGAACTGCGGATACAGTGGCTTCTCTCGACAGGAAGGTAGAACAGTAACTTGCACGGGTGAGAAAGACAATTTTTAGGATAAGAAGAGACCAGAAAGGGGAGATGTGAATCTATGAATGACAGAATGAAGGAAGAAAGATACCTAACTTTTATTAAGCTGCTCCTGTGAGTTGGGCATGGTGGTGCATGCATATAACCCCAGCCAGTGCTGGGGCAGGAAGATTGTAGCCAGCTAGGGCTACATATCAACACACACACACACACACACACACACACACACACACACACAAACACGCGCACACACAAGCTGCCCAAGTACCAGGTCACTCAAATCTTGCAACAATTCTCTGAAATAGACATTATCTTTTGTTTCCCTAGGGAGGAAATTGAGGCTAAGAGAAAATATGCAGCCTTTCCAAGGCTATACAGTGACCTTTTAAAAATGTAAACTAAGTCATTCCCCTCCAGTAGCCACCCTATCATTGCACCGGATAAGGCTCAGAGAGTACAATTAACTCACCTAAAGTCATAGTCAGCAAGGAGCAGATTTGTACCTAGACACTGTAACAGGAGCCTCCACTCCTAGCTATGAAATCCAAACTCCTGACCTTGGCTCACACAGCCCTAAATGCTGTGGTTCCTTCTTTCTCTCCGACTTCTTGACACACCACTCTCCCCAGCCTCACTGGCCTTTGCGATTTCCCCAAATTCTCAAGACCATTTCCACCAGGTCCTTCGCATAAACTCTTCCCCTCTAAATGCACTGCTCCCCTCCTACTTTTCGCAAGGTTGGCTTCATGCCATTCATCTCAGCTCTGATGTTCCTCTCCAAGACATCCCTGATTGTGTCACGCTATTTTAATCAGCTGAACAACAACTTTTCCGGGTTGTTTTCTCTCTCTCTCGCTCTCTCCCCGGCAGCTCCATCAGCTCAGGGAGCCCTTTGGCAGTGGGGGGGGGGGGTCCCCGGCCTACACCCAGAGCCTGAGAAGGCGGTTGGCCCCTGGTGACCCGCTCAGTGAGTCCACTAAATCTCCTCGGTTACAACTCCAATCGAAGAGGGTGGGAGACGCAGCCCGGCAGCGCGCGGCCTCCTGGGGGTTGTAGTCGACGACGGGCACTCGGGCACGCTCCGCGCACGCGCTCCGTGCTGCGGACGCGCGCGGCTCACGGTTGCCATGGCGCCTCCGCGCTTCGGCGGCGGGAGGCTGCCTGGCTAGGCGCCGGCGGGCTTCAGCGGGGACTCCGGCGCTGAAAGCGGAAGGAATCCCGCCCGGTGGGTAGGTGGGTCTTGGACGACCGCGCGGGGAGCCCGGGAGGCGTTTCCCCAAACCCACCCCCTTGCTCTCTGTCTGTGTAGAGCCCCCTCGGTCGTGGCATCTCCGGTTAGCCACGGGGCTAGCAAGCTGGACGCCGAGTGGCTGGCTTGGGCCCTCCCTTCCAGGAAGTGGCAAAGGGCGTCCCAGAGCCCAGGCCCAGCTCAATGTCCCGAGACTGCTGTCTTTCTTTCTAGACAGGATCTCGCTGTGTACCCTGGGCTAGCCTTGAATTTACTCGGTAGCGCAGGATGGCCTCAAATTTTATCCTCCTGCTTCTGCCTCCCAAGTGCTAGGAGTACAGGCTTGCGCCAAACTATGCTCTCAGCAGCCGCTCTTTTTTTTTTTTTTTTTTCCTTTCTTCTTTTGCGGTGCTGGAATTTGAACTCAGGGCCTACACCTTGAGCCACTCTACCAGCATTTTTTGGGGGATGAGTTTTTTTTTTTTTTTTTTTTCTAAACAGGGTTTTGCGAACTATCTGCCTAGTCTGGCTTTGAACCCCGATCCCCTCTGCCTCCTGAGTAGCTAGGATTACAGGTGTGAGCCACCGGCGCCCGGCCCAGGGACTGCTCTTTGCCTTTGCTTGATCTCGGAGTCTCAGGCTGAAGACTGGGTGGTGGTGGGGGGGTGGTCGTTGAACCCTTTCCAAGACGCAGGTTCCCACCCTCTTCATTAGTGGTATAGCCTGGCTTGCCACACCTAATACCACAGCCTTGGTCATGATGTTGAATGAGGTGTAAGGAAAGTCCCACCACCTTTAACTCAGGGTCTGAAAATAAGAGATGGATAAGACATAGTTACATTAATTCAGAATCGGCCTGTTGACAGCAAAGGAAAGAACCTTCCATATAGCGAGATTCTGGTAGCCTTACTTAGCCTATAGTTGAATAAATGTGGACAAGTTCAGATATTAAGTAACAGTCATTTACAGAGTGAGGAGATTCTAACCTAGGTTTTTCTTTATCTTCAAAACCTGTGTACTTTAGAGACCACCTTCTTTTCCCCCAATGACCTGAATTTCTACTTAATGGCACCTACACGGTATAGACCACTAGTTCTGAGTGTGGATTCCTAGCCAGCAGTGTCAGCCTCGTGGGGAAATTTGTTAGAAATGCACATTCCTGGGCCAGCTCAGACCCACTGATTCAGAAACTAGAAGAGGGGCCCAGCAATCTGATTTTTAAAAATTATTTATTTATTTTGCAGTACTGGGGTTTGAAGTAAGGGCCTCACACTTGCTAGGCAGATGCTCTACCACTTGAGCCACTCCACCAGTCCTTTCGTGTTGGGTATGTTTGAGATAGGGTCTCGCTTTCTTTTACCAGGCTGGCCTTGAACTTTGATCCTTCTGATCTGTACCTCCTGAGTAGCTAGGACTATAGGCGTGAGCCACTGGGCTCAATCTGCAATTTAACAAGTCCTCCAGGTGATTCCAAATGCACAATAATATTTGAGAACTAGTGCCAACAATTAAGTCCCAATTTTTGTGAGGGAGGTGTGCTGGGGACCAAACCCAGGACCTTGCACAGGCTAGACAAGCACTCTACCACTGAGCTATATCCCCAACCCTGTATCCTAAATTTTAACGTGTATCTGGTTCATTGAGGGTCAGGTTAAAATGCATATTCTGTTCCAGTATGTTGGGGGAGAGTGCATTTCTAGTAAGTGCAGTGCCCAAGTTATGATCCTAGTTCACAGAGCAGATTTTGAGTAGCAAGGATGTAAAGTACACTTTAGAGCAGATTTTCAAGCTTGTCCACACATTGAAATTACCTGGGGAGGGCTAAAGGCATAGCTCAAGTGGTAGAGTGCTTATTTAGTAAGCATGAAGCCTGAGTTCAAAGTCCAGTATTGAAAAACAAATTACCTAAGGAGATTTTAAAAATAGGATACCTGGCCCCCACCCCCTAACGAAGTGAATCAGAATCTCTGAGGTGGTCATTCTCATTCTTGCTCTAGAGAGACCCACTTTCAGTCTATTGAAAGTTTACTCCTTTCCTACTAAACTTCATAAAAAATAAAAATCTCCTGGTATGAAGGCCAGGTAAAAAGTTGCCAAGTGTTTCTGATGTACACTGAGGGCTTAGAACCACTGGTGTGGAGTTTGGGATTAGGTAGCTATGGTTTTGAATCCCAGCACTGGCACTTAGCAACTGTGTAGCCCTGGGCAAGCTGTAGGAATTACTTGGCCTCTCCTACACATATTTTCCCAACTCATAAAATGGGTATAAGTGCAATGGAGCTCCTACTTTGCAAGTGTGAAGTTCTGAGGTCAAACCCCAGTCCTACCAAAAAAAAAAAAAAGGCAAAAGTAATTTTTGTGGTAACTGCGGTTTGAATTTAGGGCCTTGCACTTGCTAGGCAGGCTCTCTACCACTTGAGCCACTCCACCAGTCCAAGTATAAGTAATTCTTGGTTTGCAAAGAGGTCTAAGGATTCTTTAAGAAGTGTGCATGGAATGCCTGCATTCAAAGATGCAGAAACTGAGGAGGTGTTAGGTATGGTGGTGCAGATCTCTAATCCCAGCTACCCTGGAGATGGAGGCGGGAGGATAGAAAGTTGAGCCAGCCCAGGCAATTTAAAGAGACTTTGTCTCAAAAATAAAAATTAAAAAGGCCTGGGGATGTAACTCAGTGGTAGAGTATTTGCCTAGTATGTGCAAAGTCCTGGGCTTAATTCTCAGAACTACCAAAAAAGAAAAAAAATGGGGAGATGGTCAGATTTGGGAGGTCTGTGCTGGGAATTTTGTTTGAGCACCTGACAGCGGTGTTTGGCAATGTATCCCATAGCCTACTACAACTCCCATCTGTGTGCTCCTGCCCTTAGCTAGCAGCCAGCCTGTGTGGAAGAATGGCTGTGAGCCACTCAGTGAAGGAGCGAACCATCTCTGAGAACAGCCTGATCATCCTGTTACAGGGCCTCCAGGGCCAGGTGACCACTGTGGACCTGCGGGATGAGAGTGTGGCCCATGGGCGCATTGACAACGTTGATGCTTTCATGAACATTCGCCTGGCTAAGGTCACCTACACGGACCGTTGGGGGCATCAAGTGGAGCTGGATGACTTTTTTGTGACAGGCCGTAATGTCCGATACGTCCACATCCCGGATGATGTGAACATCACCACGACCATCGAGCAGCAGCTACAGCTCATCCATCGCGTGCGCAACTTTGGTGGCAAGGGCCAGGGCCGGAAAGAGTTTCCTTCCAAAAAATATAAGTGAGACTGCCCCCTTAGCAAGCTCCAGCACCAACTCAGGGTCTGCCCATGTTCTGAGCCACCTCCCTGCCATCCCTCCTTGTCTGAAATCTGATGTCTCACACACGCCACCTGTCACAACAGCCTTTCACAGGGGTCCACCTCCCAGACTCACTTTGGAACCCAGGATCCTAATCTGGCTGTCTGTGGCCTTGGGGAAGTGACAATCTCATCTGCCCTCCTTTTTTTTTTTTTTTTGGTGGTTCTAGTGTTTGAACTCAGGGCCTTGTGCTTGCTAGGCAAGCACTCTATCACCTGAGCCACAATCTCTTTTTTGATCATTTGCTTCGAAATCTCTGATTTACTGAACGTAGGGCACCTGTGAAGTCATTTTCAACTCTGACGGCAAAGATTATTAAAATGTGCTTGGCCCAAATCACCCCTTTTCTTGCAGTTGTGTTAATTTTTCATAAAACCAAACTTGGGTACAAACATGTCTATACCTGATGTTCTTCTTGCTGTGGGCAAGGTAAAGCCCTGGGAAGTTGGATGGGAAGGAGGGGAACCAGGCCTCACTTTGACACGTGCCAAACCCTTAGGTGGGAGCACAACTGGGTCTTTTGTGATTTGGTCCTAGATTGCTAGAAAAGGCCAGCAGGGACCCAGACAGAGGTTGAGGAAACCCAGTGTTCATCGGCCTAAGGGGAGCCAGAAACTAACTACCTGACTGTCATCCCAAAGGGATTTTTTTTTTTTTTGTGGTGCTGAAGTTTGAACTCAGGGCCTATACCTTGAGCCATTCCACTAGCGCTTTCTTGTGTTGAGTATTTTCAAGATAAGGTCTTGCAAACTATTTGCCTGGGCTGGCTTCAAATCATGATCCTCCTAGCTAGGATTACAGGTGTGAGCCACCAGTGCCTGGTTCCACAGGGAATCTTTTTTTTTTCTCGGTACTGGGACTTGAACTCAGGGCCTTCACTTCAAGCCACTCCACCAGCCCTATTTTTGTGACGGGTTTTTCGAGGTAGGGTCTTGTGGAACTATTTGCCTGGGCTGGCTTCGAACTGCAATTCTTCTGATCTCTGCCTCTGAGTAGCTAGGATTACAGGTGTAAGCCACCAGTGCAGGCTTCCACAGGGAATCTTAAGTGCCATGTGTAGCCCAGCACAGTGTTAACAACTGAGGGAACATCAAGATGGACAGAGGTCTTTCCCTCAAGTGGCTGACATTCTAGTGAGGGAGACTAAGAACATAAAAACATATGCAGATACTGTGAAGGACATAGGGCCTTTTGAGAGAGTAATGGAGATAGTTTTATTTTGGAAAGTTAGTCTAGGAAGTGAAATTTAGAAGGGGCCTGCCATTTAGCGCCAAGGGAAGATGGAAGAAACTTACCAGTGCAAATGTCCTAAGGTAGGAAAGGTGGGGGATTGGAGTGATAACAACACCAGCTGAGATGGGAGAAATGGGTGATGGGCACATGATACAAAGCCCTTGGGTAAAGAGTATAGCAAGGATAGTGGGATTACAATTTCCTTTTCCTTTGGCAGTGGAGGGTGTTGAGATTGAATTCATGGGCCTGCATTAAACATACAGTCTACCACTCAGTTATCCCGCCCCTCCCTCCTCCCCCAGCTCCTCGTTCCAATTTCTGATATGCAGGAAGAAGAACCTGAATTTTCTCTAACTTTCGTTCTTATCTCACCCCACTGAGCCAGAGTGGCAGAAACTTAATTGCAGTCACTTTAGATTTTCCCACATTTTCCTCAGAATGATATGAATTATAGGGCACCCCTTCTCCAGGTGCCCAAGCCCGGGATGGGCAATCTGATTTGGTGGTCATCCAATTACACTGCCACTGTAATTGGATGTCCACTGAGGTGTCTTCATTTTGTTTGGTTTTTCTGGTGATGGATTATAAGTATAAGCCACTAGTGCCTGGTTTTTGTTTGATCTTTTGGCAATAGGCCTGGAAGGTTGCTGCTGAATCTTTTGACCCTCCCTCATGTCACCCTGGCCCCTCTCTGGTGTTTTTCCTACCTTCTTACACCCAGGAAATTCTTGAGCCTTGAGTTAAGTAGGCCCAGTTTGGCCAAATGCAGCCCACAACTCCCAGACAGCATTTCTCCAAAGGGTTTTGTTACGTCCCTGGTGCCTCACCAAGGAGGAAGAGCCAGTGCTTGTCTGCTAGCAGCCTCTGAGACCCAGCTGGCACCCCTAGCCCAGCCCAGCCCAGGAGAAGCTTCTACCCACCCCAGTCTCAACCTCCCGTATCCCCCGTTACACAATTTTTTTGTTTCTGCACAGAGATTCTTTCCATTCCTCCCTGAATGCTGGGCTTTTGGAATCCAGATGCTAAAAACGGATGCTGCGTTCTGTTGTAGCCTTCATTTCCTGAAGTAACAAATGGCAGAGTGACCTAACTGTGTGAGGAGGGGCCCAGGGACACCAAGGAAAAGATGGAAAACATATTTTGGGTCTCTTTTGGGCCTTTTTTGTTTTTTTTCTGGAGGTACTGTGGTTTGATCTCAGGGCCTCAGACTTGCCAGGCAAGTGCCCTACCATTTGAGCCACACATTCATTCTCAGGAAAGCTTATTTTAAAATATTGTCTTGCTAGCACCATTGGCTCATGCCTGTAATTCTAGCTATTCAGGAGGCAGAGATGAGGAGGACCAGGACTGTGGTTTGAAGCCAGCCCCAGGCAAATAGTTCTCAAGACACTATCTTGAAAAAAAATCCATCACAAAAAAGGGCTGCTGGAGTGGCTGAAGTGGTAGAATGCTTGCCTAGCAAGTGTCAGGCCAAATTCAAACTCCAGTACCACTAAAAAAAAAAAGTTTTGTCTCATCTGCATCTGGATTGCCAAGGCCTTTGCTCAAGCACATATCCACCCTTCCTGAAGCTTCAGCCGATGTGGGGTCCTAGTTGATAATGGAGCCCAGGAACTCTTGAGTGCTCAAGCAGCACAGTGTCCCCTCCTTTCCCTGCAATTACTGGAGGAAGAGGACTGTCAGAGCTCTGAGGGAAGCTGAATAGCATGCAACTTCCTTGACATACAAGGGACATAGCATGTCCGGCTCTCAGCATGGCTACACTGAGTGGACTTAAACCAGTTCAGTGAATTCCAGTCTGGCATGCCTGGCTGAAGAGTCTCCAGGAGCAGTGAGGGCTCTTTGAATTCTTCCCATCAATGTTCCAGAAAGATCCAGAGAGACAGCACGCAACTTGTGAAGAGTGATGAAACTGCTTTAGACTGCTCTAGGATAGAATTGCCAATAGCATAGGAATCACATTGGCTTGCTGCTCCTGATCACAAGTTCTAATGGCTATAATACAAGGCTCTCCTCAATGAAAAGTAAGAAATGATATGCGGGAAAAATTTACCAAATACAAGGCTTTTTTGGAAGAAAAAAATGCTAAAAAAAAAGCCTTTGAGGGTGGTAAGGTTGGGAACCAACTCCACTTTACTGTTGAGGAACCTGAGCTCCAGAGAGAGGAAGGGGCTCCTGTCAGCTCTGAGGTTAAGCTAAAGAGTGCAGAGATGGGCAGCTTAATGGTCATCACAACCAGCTTCTAGAAGCTTGTGCCATGACTGTGCTAGAAACAGAGCAGAGCTGCTGTATGGCATCACGAGCTTTCAGTCTTTGTAGACTGAATATAATCTTACTGCATCATTATAACAACCCTATACATTAACAGTCCCCTTTTACAGCTGTGCAACAGGCTCACAGAAGTTACATGACCTGCTCATGGTAAACAACAGGTCTGCCTAGCTCCAGATTCCATGATCTTAGCTATAATACTATTCTGTTTCCAGTTCTCTTGACATCATCATATGACAGAGTAAGATAGGAGGTGCCTCTGCTCATCTCAGTGGTCATACCCACCCATAGCGTGGGTCTGACACTCAAAACTTGCCATACCCAGACCTTGGTGCCTGACCACAAAGAGAGGCCATAAACTAGCCAGTAAGGAGGGCTGGGTTCAGAAACCTTAGAAGCCCCTGGGAGTTGAGGGTCTCCTCCCCTCATTCTGTGATGGCCTATAACTCATCAAGCAGCCATCTCTTGCTGTTGTGACAGGTATCACTTTGTTATGGCAGCATCATTTGCCAGTGAGCCAGAGTTGGAGAGCCAGCCCGAGAGTGTCACCATGAATGTGCATTCCAGCGAATCTCTCATGTTGGTGTCCTGATGACAGTTCATCTCTTCTGTCTGGCACCTTTAGTTTCTATTCATTACCTCCTCTTCTCCCCTTTCTTTTCCTCCTCCTTTCCTTTGTTAAAATCCTATATTTTGAATCAACCCAGAGTCTCCAGGGGGTGGGGATGGTGGTGTCAGCACTGTGTGAGTCATCTAGCTGATAATTAGAACTCTGGAAAACCCAAAACTCATTCTTGTCAGTCAGGGCTTCCGGAATCCCTAGGCTTTCCACTTGTCAGAGAGAGGAGTGTGGTGGGCTGGGGCCTGGTTTCTCTAGGCCTGTCTTTTGGTCATCCACCTCACAGAAGTTCTGCCACAGACATGAGTGTGAGCACTTGCTGGGTCCCGTGAGAAGCTGTTTCTAGAACTCACTGAGCTCTCTCAGAGATCCTACAAAGTGTTATCCCTATTTGGACAGTTGGGAAGATAAGGGAATTTGCTGTAGCTACTGGTTTGTAAGTGACACAATAGGAGTTCAAATTGTAGCCTTTTGGAATCTACCAGATTTGAGTGACATCACAAGCCCTGCCATTAGTAGCAGTGTGTCTTTGGACTGGTTATTTCCCCTCTCTAGCCTCTGCATCTGTAAACCGATGCGTAATGCTCACGTCTCTAAAGTACTTAACTCAGTGTGTGGTACAACAGTGGAAGCTGCCCCGTTACTAGTGTTATTCAGCCCTATCAGCAGCCCAGCGGGCACCAGGCATTCAGAGACAAAGAACAGACACACAGGGGCAGCCAGACCTCATGCAGTGTACCCAGGCTTAAACACGTGCCTACATATAGATACAGTGACCCAGGAGATGGACTGGCGGAGTGGCTCAAGTGATAGAGCACTACCACTTGAGGTGCTTAGCAAAGGTGAAGCCCTGAGTTCAAACCCCAGTACCGTCCCCCCGCCCAAAAAAAAAGTGACCCAGGGGACAGCCGGAAAGAGAACTAAGACGTCGCAAGCAGCAAGCACCCCTGCTCACTTCTCTGAGACAAAGAAGTGGGGCTATGGCTGCTGGTGCTGCTGCCACTGAGCCCTTCTGGCTGCTTCTGCTTGCCAGGGAAGGGAAGCCAGGCTCTCAGAGGGCCCTCGTGAGTCACCAGCCTGATGCAATCCCTTTAAAGGGCTCATCTGCTGGTGCAAGAAGCTGATTCATGGAGGGCGTGGTTGCTGGAGGAGGAGGGGAAAGGACAGAAACTGAAGCTGAAATAGATAGCTGAAATCTTAATGGGAACTCTTCACTGTAAACCTCACTGGTCAGGGATCTCCAGGTTGATCCTGGCCACTCTTGGGGTTTCTAAAGGGACTAAAGAGAAATGAATCGTGAGTGTTGCCTCAAGAATTCCTGTCTTTTATTGTGCCTAACTGCAGCGCTTTTCGCAAAGAGTGCCAGAAGTCGATAAATGGGAATCATGGAAGGATCGCATTTCTGACAAATACAGGACAGTCGGTCGATCTTCCAACGTTTGGAGACTCCTCCAACCCCGACAAGGGAGGGTGTAAGACCCGCGAGGATCTGCGGAGTCAAGACGGGGCGGTACCTCTAGCCCGGCCTCACGGCACACATAGATTAGCGGTAAGTACCGCCTCTAGCGTCTCAGCCTCCAATCATGTCACAGGTGTCGGCCCAGGCCCCACCGCGAACCAATCGTCAACCTGATCCGGGCCTCCTGCCTAAAGACTTCCGCCCATCGTCAAGATGGCGTTCCAATCCGAAGACCGTAGGACCCCAGACGGTGGGGGGGGCAGGGGTGGATCCCTGAGGGGGCGGGGGGCGGTGCGTCACTTCCGTTGTCAGGTGGCGGCGCCGCAGTCATGGAGGGAGGCGGCGGCGGCGGCGGCGGTGGCTCGGGTGGCTGCGCTGGGAGGCGGCGGTGAGCGGCTCCCACGCCCCCGGCCCGGCCCCGGCCCCCCGGGACGGACCGCCCAGCAGCCCCGACTCCAGGCTGCGGACTATGGGCGAGCAGCGCTGACCACCCGGGGAAGGTGAGGCCAGGGGTCCTGGAGCAGGGAGCCGGGCGTTGGGTGGGCAGCGTGTTGGCTGGGCGGGCCTCGGCTGCCTTGGCGGTGATACTAAGGTGACAGCCCGAAGCCATCTGGGCTTGACAGAAATGGCAACAGTGAATGCCCCTTCCTCCTCTGGGAGAGGGGGCGGTTTCCCCTTCCCCGTTGGCGGAGGCGGCGGTTTCGTAGAGTCTCAGATCCCACCGCAGTCCTGGGAAGTGGGCACTGTCAACCTTGCTCGGACCCACTCAGTCAGTAAGTGAAGCAGCTGATGTTTGAACCTAGCCAGATTTTCCCAAAGAGACGACCTCTCCTCTCCATGCTTCCCTCCTGATTTCGAGACTTGAAAGTTAGGACGAATTCCCAAGAAGAGGCTGCCAGGGCTTCCTCCTGGAACCCTTACCCGTTGGCACCAACACCATCGCTGCTGGGGAATTTTCTCATCCTGGGCGGCGTTCAGGTGCGAGTCAGAGCTACCTGCTTGCCAGATCAACGTCTGGCCGGTATCCTCCAAGGGGAGTTTGCTGTGGTCACTGTTTCACCTGTCTGCGGGTCAGGCCCGCCCATTCCTGTGCCACTTGGCCCCACCTTTCAACCAGTAGGTGAGAGCATTCTGATTCCCGATGGTGTTCTCTGCCCACCCGTATTCCCCAGTATTGCTGCCCTTTTGTTGGCAGCTTTCTGTGGCAAAATAGACTTTGCTCTGGTTTAAGTCACTGGAGGAAACCGGTTAGCTTTGCTTGGTTTTGAGAACCATTGGGGAAGAGAATAGTCATCCTGGGCTGGGCGCCTTTCCCTCTGGGCTGAGTAGTTTTGCATGAGATAAGGAAGGACAGAATTGTAATTGTTGGGCCCAGAGAATCCTTATTTGTAAACAGCTTTCCTTAATGGCTCTGCTCTGCCAGTGCTTATGGACAGCTCAGGGAGTCCTCATTCATTCATTTCTCACATAACAACAGGGTCTTCACTTGGAGAGGTAAGTGTTCTATAGGGGTTAAAAGTGGGTTTTGCAATCAGACTTCCAATTTCAAAACAAAATTTTTTTTTTCAGTTCTAGGTTTGAATTCAGGGTCTACACTATACCTTGAGCCACTCTACCAGCCTGTTTTTTGTGATGGATCTTTTCCAGAGAGGGTGTCTCAAAAGTGGTTGGGGCTGGCTTTGAACCTCTATCCTCCTGATCTCTTCCTCCTGAGTATCTAGGATTACATGTGTGAGACACCAGCGCCTGGCTGCCAAGTCAAATTCTGACTGAGTAGCTTTCAAGCTGTGTGACCCTGGCTACTTTGCTAAACCTGTCTGTACTTCATTGTCTTCATCTGTAAAACAGGAGTAATGATACAGAGTTGTTATGAAGAGTTAAAAAATTAAGAAACACATGTAAAACACATAGAACCATGTCTACCACTTAAGTGTTCAATAGGTGTATTTTTATTTCAAGAAGTTCACAATTTAGTTAGAAGACTAACTTGTAAATAAATAGTTGAAATGTGATCTAAAAAAGCTAGCAACAACAGGAACAAACTGCTGTGGGAGTCCAGCAGAGCAAGCTGCTAGCTTAGCCTAGGGCCTAGGGCATGGGGTGTTGGGGGAATGAGTTTGGGAAGACTTGGCAGAAGTGGTTTTGGAGTCTAGAAGGAGAGGAGGAGGAGGAGGAGGTTAGGCAGGTAAGAATGAAGAGGAAGGTATTCTGTTGAGAATAAGAGAGAGACAGAGAAAGTCATAGTTTATTCCAGAAACCTCAGATTGTTCAGTAGAGTGGTATGGAAGTTAATATGGAGCAAGTGAAGCAGTATAAATTGTCTAAGGAATGCCACATTAATGATTTGCGGCTTTATGCCCAGGACAGTAGGAGACCAGTGAAAAGCTTTCAAGTCCAGAATAGATCTCCCTAGAATCCTAGTATAGGAGGGAAGGAGAGGAGAGGAGGACTAGAGGGCTGGAGGCCCCTTTAGAGACCACTGCAGGCTTTGAAAGGGAAGAGCTGGTACTGGGGTAGTGGATCTCTACTGAGAAAGCACATGTAGAACCAGTGCTAGGTTGCTAGCCCCTTCCCTTGCATGGGCCTGGGCTTCTCTGTCTGGCACAAAAGTGCCTGGCACATGTGCCTTTCTTGTTTTGGGATTGCAGGTTGCCTAAGCAGCTGGGGAGGTGGGGCTGCCCTCTCAGAAGGCCAGTTTAGTTGTAAGAGGGGTCATATTTGCTTGCTTGTGCCTTCATTTTGACCTTTAGGGAAGGTAGTAAGTTGTAGAGGTTAAGCATTTATTTGGCTCTGCCATCAGACAGATCTGTGTTCTAATCCCAGCCCTGCCTGTCACTAAAAGCTATGTATTCTCCCTATGCCCAACTTTCTCATCTGCAGAATGGGGAAAATAAGAGTACCTCCCTACTAGGGCAGTTGTGAGAATTAAGTAAGATGTAGGTTGAGTAGTTAGCACTCACAGAGTAATAAATGCTTAGGAAGCCTTTAGTTTTTATCACAGGCTGCAGAGAAGGAATTAGTTGAAGCAATTCACGGGGACTAAAACTGTCCCACTGAGCTGTCAGAACTATCTTGCGGGATCATGAGATCACAGAATTTTATTGTATTCTTTCTGAAAGGAAATCTGTGGGGAGTTTATCCAGTCTGTATAGGAGCAATGCAGATGATTCAGTTTGACTTTTTAAAAGTAAAAATAGAAGTAGGACTGCAGTGAAAAAAATAGCATTTTAAAGCATACATGAGAGAAAATGTATTTAGAGTTTCTTCTGTATGAGTCCCTACCAGTACCCTACTGAATTAGTATCATCAGGAAGCATCCCACTCATTTATGTGTGTGGTGGCTCAAAATATAGAACCTCGTGTATACATGTGAGCTTCCTTGTGTGGCTGGTGTGTGCTGGGTCCTTGGGGGGAGGGGATGAAGAGGATGAAGAGGCAGATCTGTTCTGGAGGAGGTTGTGGTCCACCTGAGACAGGGGCAGGCACCTAACCCATGGACAGTTGCACAGAGCTTGGTGAGTCTCTTCCAGAAGTCTATCCTGCATGAAGTGGGAACTGAGCGAGTGGAAGGAGTGACTCACCTGGGGATAAAAAGGAGACTGAGGAGAATTTTGGAGAGCCCTTAGAATTTTAATTGGTTCTTGAATGAATAGTTTCCTGAGGGTCCAGGCAGCACACTAGGCAGGGAGAGTAGGGTGGTACAAGTGTGAATGTGTGCTGGTGTGTGCAGCCCTTTGGGAACATCAGGGGTTCCAGCACAGGGTGTAAAGGGACCTGGTTGCAGGACATGCTTGAAAGGTAGACACACAGCAGCCTTGAACTAAGATGCTAAGATGCTTGAGCTTTATATTCTGTTGGTAATGGATCTGACATGGAAGAAACGCTTATTGGACCTGCATCTTCCAAAGAGCCCTCTGGCTGCGGGTAGAGGATGGACTGGGGAGTGTCTGCTGGTGCAGTAATCACAGCAAGGACTGATGGGGGCTTGGATCAGGACAGAGGTGGTGGGGATGGGCCAGAAGGGCAGAAGTCAGAGCTGTTTGGGGGAAAATCAGCTGGGCTCTGGTAGTGTTTAGAAGTGTGGTTGAGGGAGGAAGAATGATGGTGAGTGACCCTGTGGTTCTTGGTTTGGGTGACAGAGTGAATGAAAGTGCAGAGATAAGGTAGCTCAGGGAGAAGATAATAGTCAGTGGAATCTGCCAGCTCCATCCAGTAAGCCCTGAGCTTACCCTCAAGGGAGGAGATCAATTGCAAAGTCCTGGGGAACCCCGTCCAGCTTTGTGGCAGGCCTCTCTCATTTTGCCTGCCTCAGCACCTGGGAGGAGGGTAGCCCCCTTTTCTTCACTTTTTCTCTCTATATGTGACCAGGGAAGTGAACTTCATCAACTTTCAGAAACCCCAGTGCGGACATTTCATCCCACCATTAACCACTCTGATTCCACAGGCTACACCCCCATCACCAGAGAGAGAGCTTTCTCAGCGCCCCCGGAGCTCCTACCTAGAAAGAGACCTTGAGATTGAGTTTACTGCCTGATGCTAGGTCAGCAGATTCAGCCTTGCTTCTCAGGAAGAAGTGTCTGCCAGAGGCCCCATAGCATTCAGAGCTGCCAGGGAAGCCTGAGGAAACTGCCCTGGTAACTGCCCCTGAATTAAATTGGGTTATGGAGAGGGGTGTGCTGCCGGCCATGGCTTCAAACAGGATCTTGGAGTTTGGGAGATTTTTACAGCATTTGTCCTTGGGTTTGTGGTGTAAAGAAAGTGGACTGAAACAGGAGCATTTCTTCCACCTCCACCAGCTTAGGTGAGACTACAGCCTTGAAGGTGACTCTGGGCCACAGCCTCCCCTGCATATCTCCCCAGGCTTCATAATCAGGAGCCAAGAGGGGACTAGTATTGCTTGCTTTGATATACTTACTATTTTAGCAGTGGTTCCACTTTGGCAAATGCACATGCTTGTCTGGGTCATTTTTGGCTACATTTTGTACCATCTTGAGTATAATTGAACAAATTCTGCTGATGATAAACACAGGTTATTTTCTGTCTTTTGTTTCTCAAAGCTGAATTTGTACATAGAATTTAGGCTACCTTAGGTATCAGCAGGGTAAATTTCTAGAAGAGGGATTGCCTCAAAGATTTTCTCTCTTTTTTTTTTTTTTTAAAGAATTTCTGGGCCCACTGGGCACTGGCAGTCACACCTGTAATTCTAGCTATTCAGGAGGCAGAGCTCAGGCAAATAGTTTGTGAGACCCTATCCCGAAAACACCCAACATAAAACAGGTCTGCTGGAGTGGCTCAAGTGTAGAGTGCCTGCCTAGCAAATGTGAGGCCCTGAGTTCAAATCCCAGTACCACAAAATAAATAATTTCTGGGTCCTCCTTTTTTTTTTTTTTTTTTTTTTTTTAAATACAGGGTCTCACTATGTAGTCTAGGCTTCCAGGCTGGCCTGGAACTTATTATGTAGCCCAGCTTGGCCTCAAATTTACAGTCCTACCTCAGCTTCCTGAGTGCTGGGCCCTCCTTTAATAAACTACAGCAGCCTTACATTCTTCCAGGTAGCACATCTACTCAAGTTGAGTAGACGGGCAGTAGCCCAGTGGTATTCATTCTCTCCTCACTGTGGCATCTATTGGTTGTGAGCTCACCAGGGCTTAGCCCTCTGTAGACCTAATGATTTGAAAGAAACTCCAGTTATTGGGAAGCACCAGAAGTAGCTATCATTATTATGAATGGTGTTTACAGATTGCCACCTACCTAGCAAGAAAGATAGAGGTTCTTTAACTCTTAGGAAGTCTGCTGCCCAAGGGTCCAGAAGGAAGAGACTGGCCTGGTCATTGGAGTGGGAATTGGGAAGAGCAGTAGTGATGTATCTGTCTGTTATTTGTCTCTGGATTTGGGGCAGAGGTATATGATGTGTGTTGAGGGGATAGCAGTCCCTCTAGGGAGAAGCTTGGTCCAGCCCTTGGGGACATTTTGGGATTGGCATAGCCCAACATTTCGTGGGGCTTTGGACCCCATGGCTGGCAATTGCCAGGTCTGGAAAGAGTCCTGCTACTTTTACAGTAACTTTGCTGCTCCCAGCATTATTGGGTTTGGGGTGAGTCTCATAGTGCGCTCTCTTTTTTGACTCTTTCCTGAAGAAACAGGAAGGAAAACAGCAAAAAAGAGGGATCCCCACCACCATCAAGTCCTTTGCTGAGCACACTGCAGTACTGTATTGACTCCAAGGAAGTAGAGCTTATCTCTGCAGAGTAGCACAGCCAGGCTCAGAGGAGTTAAGTAGCTTGCCCGCTGTTACACAGCCGTTGAGGACAGAGCTGGGATTTTCAGTCCATGTTTGTATGACTCTAGAGACCATACCCTCCCCTTCCCCTATCCTGGCCAGATTCTGGCCCCATGGAGCCCAATCCATGTAGACTCTTGTATTCCAATAGCTATAGAATTGGAAGAAACCTTCACAAAGTTGAATCAGACTGTTTTTTGCCAGAAGAGTGGAA